AATGATTTAAATGATTTAAAAAGAGGAGTGATATACTTCAAAATGGTAAAATGTATTCTCTTAAGGAAATATGTTTGTATCAAAAAAAAAGTAGGCCTATATATTTTTTAAAAAGTTAATAAATATTTTTTCATTTTTACATTTTACAATGTAAATAACATTTCATTTTATAGTAAAACTCTAAAATTCTCTCAATATAAATAAAAAAAACTTTGAAAATAGTAATTATCTACTTGATAGTTAACATTGTGAAACAAACTTATATAATAATACAGTACAAAAATCAATCCCAATATACATTTGCATAATGTAAACTATATTTTCGTAGGGTTACAAATTACATTGGTTACAGAAAAGTCTTATTCATATATGATAGTATCTTTGAAAAGACTTTAATTTTGCAGTAATAATAAAAAAGGAAAAATTGATATAATTAGGAGGCAATCTTTGTACATTTGTTGTTTGACCTCACATTACAAAAAGTCACAAAAAAATCTTGCTCAAACAGTCAGCTAACTTATCACAGTGATTAGTTTAGCTTTCACAGACTGCTTGCCTCCCCTTTATAGAAAAGTAATTTTACTATCTCTTATCATTTTTACTCCGACAGTCATCTGGCTGGACAACAATATTCGTTACTGGAAAGTCAACAGATGTTTACTCTGACTATCAAAAAAATATTCTGTTATGACAAGAGGTTGATATTTGGGGACAAACCTGGACACATATCTTATATTTATGTTGATCTATTTAAGGAATCAAAGCTAGTATTTAACTGAACCTCTTCCATACAGTACATCTAGAATCTCCTACAGTAGATCTAGAATCTACTACCATACAGTATATCTAGAACCTCCTACCATACAGTACATCTAGAACCTCCTACCATACAGTACATCTAGAACCTCTTACAGTAGATCTAGAACCTCCTACAGTACATCTAGAACCTCCTAGAGTACATCTAGAACCTCCTACCATACAGTACATCTAGAATCTCCTACAGTACATCTAGAACCTCCTACCATACAGTACATCTAGAACCTCCTACAGTACATCTAGAACCTCCTACCATACAGTACATCTAGAACCTCCTACAGTACATCTAGAACCTCCTACCATACAGTACATCTAGAACCTCCTACAGTAGATCTAGAACCTCCTACAGTACATCTAGAACCTCCTAGAGTACATCTAGAACCTCCTACCATACAGTACATCTAGAACCTCCTACCATACAGTACATCTAGAACCTCCTACCATACAGTACATCTAGAACCTCCTACCATACAGTACATCTAGAACCTCCTACAGTACATCTAGAACCTCCTAGAGTACATCTAGAACCTCCTACCATACAGTACATCTAGAACCTCCTACCATACAGAACATCTAGAACCTCCTACAGTACATCTAGAACCTCCTACCATACAGAACATCTAGAACCTCCTACAGTACATCTAGAACCTCCTACAGTAGATCTAGAACCTCCTACAGTATATCTAGAACCTCCTACCAAACAGTACATCTAGAACCTCCTACAGTACATCTAGAACCTCCTACCATACAGTACATCTAGAACCTCTTACCATACAGTACATCTAGAACCTCCTACCATACAGTACATCTAGAACCTCCTACAGTACATCTAGAACCTCCTACCATACAGTACATCTAGAACCTCCTACCATACAGTACATCTAGAACCTCCTACCATACAGTACATCTAGAACCTCCTACCATACAGTACATCTAGAACCTCCTACAGTACATCTAGAACCTACTACAGTACATCTAGAACCTACTACCATACAGTACATCTAGAACCTCCTACAGTAAATCTAGAACCTACTACAGTACATCTAGAACCTCCTACCATACAGTACATCTAGAACCTCCTACCATACAGTACATCTAGAACCTCCTACCATACAGTACATCTAGAACCTCCTACCATACAGTACATCTAGAACCTCCTACCATACAGTATATCTAGAACCTCCTACCATACAGTATATCTAGAACCTCCTACCATACAGTATATCTAGAGCCTCCTACAGTACATCTAGAACCTCCTACAGTACATCTAGAACCTCCTACCATACAGTACATCTAGAACCTCCTACAGTACATCTAGAACCTCCTACCATACAGTACATCTAGAACCTCCTACAGTACATCTAGAACCTTCTACCATACAGAACATCTAGAACCTCCTACAGTAGATCTAGAACCTCCTACAATACAGTATATCTAGAACCTCCAACCATACAGTACATCTAGAACCTCCTACAGTAGATCTAGAACCTCCTACAGTACATCTAGAACCTCCTACAGTACATCTAGAACCTCCTACAGTACATCTAGAACCTACTACAGTACATCTAGAACCTCCTACCATACAGTATATCTAGAACCTCCTACAGTACATCTAGAACCTCCTACCATACAGTATATCTAGAACCTGCTACTATACAGTATATCTAGAACCTCCTACAGTAGATCTAGAACCTCCTACCATACAGTATATCTAGAACCTCCTACTATACAGTATATCTAGAACCTCCTACAGTAGATCTAGAACCTCCTACCATACAGTACATCTAGAACCTCCTACAGTACATCTAGAACCTGCTACCATACAGTACATCTAGAACCTCCTACAGTACATCTAGAACCTTCTACCATACAGTACATCTAGAACCTCCTACTATACAGAACATCTAGAACCTCCAACAGTAGATCTAGAACCTCCTACCATACAGTACATCTAGAACCTCCTACAGTACATCTAGAACCTGCTACCATACTGTATATCTAGAACCTCCTACCATACAGTACATTTAGAACCTCCTACCATACAGTATATCTAGAACCTCCTACAGTACATCTAGAACCTGCTACCATACAGTACATCTAGAACCTCCTACCAAACAGTACATCTAGAACCTCCTACAGTACATTTAGAACCTCCTACCATACAGTAGATCTAGAACCTCCTACCATACAGTATATCTAGAACCTTCTACCATACAGTACATCTAGAACCTTCTACCATACAGTATATCTAGAACCTCCTAGAATACATCTAGAACATAGTACCCTACAGTACATCTAGAATCTCCTACCATACTGTATATCTAGAACCTCTTACCATACAGTACATCTAGAACCTCCTACAGTACATCTAGAACCTCCTACCATACAGTACATCTAGAACCTCCTACCATACAGTACATCTAGAACCTCCTACCATACAGTACATCTAGAACCTCCTACCATACAGTACATCTAGAACCTCCTACCATACAGTATATCTAGAACCTCCTACCATACAGTATATCTAGAACCTCCTACCATACAGTATATCTAGAACCTCCTACCATACAGTACATCTAGAACCTCCTACCATACAGTATATCTAGAACCTCCTACCATACAGTATATCTAGAGCCTCCTACAGTACATCTAGAACCTCCTACAGTACATCTAGAACCTCCTACAGTACATCTAGAACCTCCTACCATACAGTACATCTAGAACCTCCTACAGTACATCTAGAACCTCCTACCATACAGTACATCTAGAACCTCCTACAGTACATCTAGAACCTTCTACAGTACATCTAGAACCTCCTACCATACAGTATATCTAGAACCTCCTACAGTACATCTAGAACCTCCTACCATACAGTATATCTAGAACCTCCTACTATACAGTATATCTAGAACCTCCTACAGTAGATCTAGAACCTCCTACCATACAGTATATCTAGAACCTCCTACTATACAGTATATCTAGAACCTCCTACAGTAGATCTAGAACCTCCTACTATACAGTATATCTAGAACCTCCTACCATACAGTACATCTAGAACCTCCTACAGTACATCTAGAACCTGCTACCATACAGTACATCTAGAACCTCCTACAGTACATCTAGAACCTTCTACCATACAGTACATCTAGAACCTCCTACTATACAGAACATCTAGAACCTCCAACAGTAGATCTAGAACCTCCTACCATACAGTACATCTAGAACCTCCTACAGTACATCTAGAACCTGCTACCATACTGTATATCTAGAACCTCCTACCATACAGTACATTTAGAACCTCCTACCATACAGTATATCTAGAACCTCCTACAGTACATCTAGAACCTGCTACCATACAGTACATCTAGAACCTCCTACCAAACAGTACATCTAGAACCTCCTACAGTACATTTAGAACCTCCTACCATACAGTAGATCTAGAACCTCCTACCACACAGTATATCTAGAACCTCCTACCATACAGTACATCTAGAACCTCCTACTATACAGAACATCTAGAACCTCCTACAGTACATCTAGAACCTCCTACAGTAGATCTAGAACCTCCTACAGTACATCTAGAACCTCCTAGAGTACATCTAGAACCTCCTACCATACAGTACATCTAGAACCTCCTACCATACAGTACATCTAGAACCTCCTACAGTACATCTAGAACCTCCTACAGTACATCTAGAACCTCCTACCATACAGTAGATCTAGAACCTCCTACAGTACATCTAGAACCTCCTACAGTAGATCTAGAACCTCCTACAGTATATCTAGAACCTCCTACAGTAGATCTAGAACCTCCTACAGTAGATCTAGAACCTCCTACAGTATATCTAGAACCTCCTACCAAACAGTACATCTAGAACCTCCTACAGTACATTTAGAACCTCCTACCATACAGTAGATCTAGAACCTCCTACCATACAGTATATCTAGAACCTCCTACCATACAGTACATCTAGAACCTCCTACCATACAGTACATCTAGAACCTCCTACTATACAGAACATCTAGAACCTCCTACAGTACATCTAGAACCTCCTACCATACAGTACATCTAGAACCTTCTACCATACAGTATATCTAGAACCTCCTACAGTACATCTAGAACCTCCTACAGTACATCTAGAACCTCCTACCATACAGTATATCTAGAACCTCCTACAGTACATCTAGAACCTCCTACAGTACATTTAGAACCTTCTACCATACAGTACATCTAGAACCTCCTAGAGTACATCTAGAACCTCCTACTATACAGTACATCTAGAACCTCCTACCATACAGTACACCTATTTTTTTTGTTCATGTAAGACCCAACAGAGCAGTTAAATGCTTCTGAAAACGCTTCCATGTTTTGCAATGTTCCAATCACTCTGAAAATACAAGATGAAAATATTATTATAGCGAAATAGATATTTAGGTTATGTAATGTTTACAACTAGAGTTGATATAATAAAAATATTAGTGTTATATAATGTTTATGAAACTAGAAAATATAAATATAATAAGTTACAATGGTTACATAATGTTAATACATAGAGTTGATGGGGATGGTGGTGAATGCATACATATGGTCTACCAGCCTCAGCCTCCCACTCCTCACCCATCGGAGAAACCTACTATCTTACCCATTATCCCACCAACTATCCCACCTAATATCCCACCTACTACCCACCTACTATCTTACCCAATATCCCACCAACTATCCCACCAACTATCCCACCAACTATCCCACCAACTATCCCACCTACTATCTTACCCATTATCCCACCAACTATCCCACCTACTATCCCACCTACCATTCACCTACTATCTTACCCATTATCCCACCAACTATCCCACCTAATATCCCACCTACTACCCACCTAGTATCTTACCCAATATCCCACCAACTATCTCACCAACTATCCCACCAACTATCCCACCTATTATCCACCTACTACCCACCTACTATCTTACCCATTATCCCACCAACTATCCCACCTATCTTACCCATTATCCCACCAACTATCCCACCTACTATCCCACCTACCATTCACCTACTATCTTACCCATTATCCCACCAACTATCCCACCTAATATCCCACCTATTATCCACCTACTACCCACCTACTATCCCACCTACCATTCACCTACTATCTTACCCATTATCCCACCAACTATCACACCTAATACCCCACCTACTATCCACCTACTACCCACTTACTATCTTACCCATTATCCCACCAACTATCCCACCTACTATCCCACCTACCATTCACCTACTATCTTACCCGTTATCCCACCAACTATCCCACCTAATATCCCACCTACTATCCACCTACTACCCACCTACTATCCCACCTAATATCCCACCAACTATCACACCTAATATCCCACCTAATATCCACCTACTATCCCACTTCTATGCACCTACTATCCCACCTAATATCCCACCAACTATCCCACCTAATACCCCACCTACTATCCACCTACTACCCACCTACTATCTTACCCATTATCCCACCAACTATCCCACCTACTATCCCACCTACCATTCACCTACTATCTTACCCGTTATCCCACCAACTATCCCACCTAATATCCCACCTACTATCCACCTAATACCCACCTACTATCCCACCTAATATCCCACCAACTATCACACCTAATATCCCACCTAATATCCACCTACTATCCCACTTCTATGCACCTACTATCCCACCTAATATCCCACCAACTATCACACCTAATATCGCACCTAATATCCGCCAACTATCCCAACTACTATCCCACCTAATATCCCAACTACTATCCCACCTACTATCCACCTAATATCCCACCGACTATCCCACCGACTATCCCACCGACTATCCCACCAACTATCCCACCTACTATCCACCTAATATCCCACCAACTATCCCACCGACTATCCCACCGACTAACCCACCTACTATCCCACCTAGATATGTTGTGTCACATGTATTAAGCCTTGTTGCTCAGAAAGGTATACATTCTCAGTGACGAGACTTGTAGAATCAGTTTAAACAGAAACCAATTGAATAAAACTTCTCTCTACCATTGAATAAAACTTCTCTCTACCATTGAATAAAACTTCTCTCTACCATTGAATAAAACTTCTCTCTACCATTGAATGAATATTCTCTCTACCATTGAATAAAACTTCTCTCTACCATTGAATGAAACTTCTCTCTACCATTGAATAAAACTTCTCTCTACCATTGAATAAAACTTCTCTCTACCATTGAATAATACTTCTCTCTACCATTGAATAAAACTTCTCTCTACCATTGAATGAACTTTCTCTCTACCATTGAATGAAACTTCTCTCTACCATTGAATGAAACTTCTCTCTACCATTGAATGAAACTTCTCTCTACCATTGAATGAAACTTCTCTCTACCATTGAATGAAACTTCTCTCTACCATTTAATGAATATTCTCTCTACCATTGAATAAAACTTCTCTCTACCATTGAATGAAAGTTCCCTCTACCATTGAATGAAACTTCTCTCTACCATTGAATGAATCTTCTCTCTACCATTGAATGAAACTTCTCTCTACCATTGAATGAAACTTCTCTCTACCATTGAATGAAACTTCTCTCTACCATTGAATGAAACTTCTCTCTACCATTGAAGGAAACTTCTCTCTACCATTGAATAAAACTTCTCTCTACCATTGAATGAAACCTCTCGCTACCATTGAATGAAACTTCTCTCTACCATTGAATGAAACTTCTCTCTACCATTGAATGAAACTTCTCTCTACCATTGAATGAATATTCTCTCTACCATTGAATAAAACTTCTCTCTACCATTAAATGAAACTTCTCTCTACCATTGAATGAAACTTCTCTCTATCATTGAATGAAAATTCTCTCTACCATTGAATGAAACTTCTCTCTACCATTGAATGAAAATTCTCTCTACCATTGAATGAAACTTCTCTCTACCATTGAAGGAAACTTCTCTCTACCATTGAATAAAACTTCTCTCTACCATTGAATGAAACTTCTCTCTACCATTGAATGAAACTTCTCTCTACCATTGAAGGAAACTTCTCTCTACCATTGAATGAAAATTCTCTCTACCATTGAATAAAACTTCTCTCTACCATTGAATGAATATTCTCTCTACCATTGAATGAAACTTCTCTCTACCATTGAATGAAACTTCTCTCTACCATTGAATGAAACTTCTCTCTACCATTGAATGAAACTTCTCTCTACCATTGAATGAAACTTCTCTCTACCATTGAATGAAACTTCTCTCTACCATTGAATGAATATTCTCTCTACCATTGAATGAATATTCTCTCTACCATTGAATGAAACTTCTCTCTACCATTGAATGAAACTTCTCTCTACCATTGAATGAAACTTCTCTCTACCATTGAATGAAACTTCTCTCTACCATTGAATGAAACTTCTCTCTACCATTGAATGAAAATTCTCTCTACCATTGAATGAAACTTCTCTCTACCATTGAATAAAACTTCTCTCTACCATTGAATGAAACTTCTCTCTACCATTGAATGAAACTTCTCTCTACCATTGAATGAAACTTCTCTCTACCATTGAATGAAACTTAAAACTGTATGATTGTATAGTTGTATTTGAACTGGGTACCTAAATCTGCCAGGGCTGTGGACGCCTGTCTTTAACCGGGTGACTGTTGCTTCCGGCCTCATAACACCACACCATACCTAAAGGGGGAGAACAAAGCTCATAACACCACACCATACCTAAAGGGAGAGAACAGAGCTCATAACACCACACCATACCTAAAGGGAGAGAACAAAGCTCATAACACCATACCTAAAGGGAGAGAACAAAGCTCATAACACCACACCATACCTAAAGGGAGAGAACAAAGCTCATAACACCACACCATACCTAAAGGGAGAGAACAAAGCTCATAACACCACACCATACCTAAAGGGAGAGAACAAAGCTCATAACACCACACCATACCTAAAGGGAGAGAACAAAGCTCATAACACCACACCATACCTAAAGGGAGATAACAAAGCTCATAAGACCACACCATACCTAAAGGGAGAGAACAGAGCTCATAACACCACACCATACCTAAAGGGAGAGAACAGAGCTCATAACACCACACCATACCTAAAGGGAGAGAACAGAGCTCATAACACCACACCATACCTAAAGGGAGAGAACAAAGCTCATAACACCATACCTAAAGGGAGAGAACAAAGCTCATAACACCACACCATACCTAAAGGGAGAGAACAAAGCTCATAACACCATACCATACCTAAAGGGAGAGAACAAAGCTCCTAACACCACACCATACCTAAAGGGAGAGAACAAAGCTCATAACACCACACCATACCTAAAGGGAGAGAACAAAGCTCATAACACAATACCTAAAGGGAGAGAACAAAGCTCATAAGACCACACTATACCTAAAGGGAGAGAGCAAAGCTCATAACATCACACCATACCTAAAGGGAGAGAACAGAGCTCATAACACCACACCATACCTATAGGGAGAGAACAGAGCTCATAACACCACACCATACCTAAAGGGAGAGAACAAAGCTCATAACATCACACCATACCTAAAGGGAGAGAACAAAGCTCATAACACCATACCTAAAGGGAGAGAATAAAGCTCATAACACCATACCTAAAGGGAGAGAACAAAGCTCATAACACCACACCTTACCTAAAGGGAGAGAACAAAGCTCATAACACCATACCATACCTAAAGGGAGAGAACAAAGCTCATAACACCATACCTAAAGGGAGAGAACAAAGCTCATAACACCATACCTAAAGGGAGAGAACAAAGCTCATAACACCACACCATACCTAAAGGGAGAGAACAAAGCTCATAACACCACACCATACCTAAAGGGAGAGAACAGAGCTCATAGCACCACACCATACCTATAGGGAGAGAACAGAGCTCATAACACCACACCATACCTAAAGGGAGAGAACAAAGCTCATAACATCACACCATACCTAAAGGGAGAGAACAAAGCTCATAACACCATACCTAAAGGGAGAGAATAAAGCTCATAACACCATACCTAAAGGGAGAGAACAAAGCTCATAACACCACACCTTACCTAAAGGGAGAGAACAAAGCTCATAACACCATACCATACCTAAAGGGAGAGAACAAAGCTCATAACACCATACCTAAAGGGAGAGAACAAAGCTCATAACACCATACCTAAAGGGAGAGAACAAAGCTCATAACACCACACCATACCTAAAGGGAGAGAACAAAGCTCATAACACCACACCATACCTAAAGGGAGAGAACAAAGCTCATAACACCATACCTAAAGGGAGAGAACAAAGCTCATAACACCATACCTAAAGGGAGAGAACAAAGCTCATAACACCACACCATACCTAAAGGGAGAGAACAAAGCTCATAACACCATACCTAAAGGGAGAGAACAAAGCTCATAACACCATACCTAAAGGGAGAGAACAAAGCTCATAAGACCACACCATACCTAAAGGGAGAGAACAAAGCTCATAAGACCACACCATACCTAAAGGGAGAGAACAAAGCTCATAACATCACACCATACCTAAAGGGAGAGAACAGAGCTCATAACACCACACCATACCTAAAGGGAGAGAACAGAGCTCATAACACCACACCATACCTAAAGGGAGAGAACAAAGCTCATAACATCACACCATACCTAAAGGGAGAGAACAGAGCTCATAACACCACACCATACCTAAAGGGAGAGAACAGAGCTCATAACACCACACCATACCTAAAGGGAGAGAACAAAGCTCATAAGACCACACCATACCTAAAGGGAGAGAACAAAGCTCATAACATCACACCATACCTAAAGGGAGAGAACAAAGCTCATAACACCATACCTAAAGGGAGAGAATAAAGCTCATAACACCATACCTAAAGAGAGAGAACAAAGCTCATAACACCACACCATACCTAATGGGAGAGAACAAAGCTCATAACACCACACCATACCTAGAGGGAGAGAATAAAGCTCATAACACGATACCTAAAGGGAGAGAACAAAGCTCATAACACCATACCTAAAGGGAGAGAACAAAGCTCATAACACCACACCATACCTAAAGGGAGAGAACAAACCTCATAACACCATACCATACCTAAAGGGAGAGAACAAAGCTCATAACACCACACCATACCTAAAGGGAGAGAACAAAGCTCATAACACCACACCATACCTAAAGGGAGAGAGCAAAGCTCATAACACCACGCCATACCTAAAGGGAGAGAACAAAGCTCATAACACCACACCATACCTAAAGGGAGAGAACAAAGCTCATAACACCACACAATACCTAAAGGGAGAGAACAAAGCTCATAAGACCACACCATACCTAAAGGGAGAGAACGAGCTCATAACATCACACCATACCTAAAGGGAGAGAACAGAGCTCATAACACCACACCATACCTAAAGGGAGAGAACAGAGCTCATAACACCACACCATACCTAAAGGGAGAGAACAAAGCTCATAACATCACACCATACCTAAAGGGAGAGAACAAAGCTCATAACACCATACCTAAAGGGAGAGAATAAAGCTCATAACACCATACCTAAAGGGAGAGAACAAAGATCATAACACCACACCATACCTAAAGGGAGAGAACAAAGCTCATAACACCACACCATACCTAAAGGGAGAGAATAAAGCTCATAACACCATACCTAAAGGGAGAGAACAAAGCTCATAACACCATACCTAAAGGGAGAGAACAAAGCTCATAACACCACACCATACCTAAAGGGAGAGAACAAAGCTCATAACACCACACCATACCTAAAGGGAGAGAACAAAGCTCATAACACCACACCATACCTAAAGGGAGAGAACAAAGCTCATAACACCACACCTTACCTAAAGGGAGAGAACAAAGCTCATAACACCATACCATACCTAAAGGGAGAGAACAAAGCTCATAACACCATACCTAAAGGGAGAGAACAAAGCTCATAGCACCATACCTAAAGGGAGAGAACAAAGCTCATAACACCACACCATACCTAAAGGGAGAGAACAAAGCTCATAACACCACACCATACCTAAAGGGAGAGAATAAAGCTCATAACATCACACCATACCTAAAGGGAGAGAACAAAGCTCATAACACCATACCTAAAGGGAGAGAACAAAGCTCATAACACCATACCTAAAGGGAGAGAACAAAGCTCATAACACCACACCATACCTAAAGGGAGAGAACAAAGCTCATAAGACCACACCATACCTAAAGGGAGAGAACAAAGCTCATAACACCACACCATACCTAAAGGGAGAGAACAAAGCTCATAACACCACACCATACCTAAAGGGAGAGAACAAAGCTCATAACACCATACCTAAAGGGAGAGAACAAAGCTCATAACACCATACCTAAAGGGAGAGAACAAAGCTCATAAGACCACACCATACCTAAAGGGAGAGAACAAAGCTCATAAGACCACAACATACCTAAAGGGAGAGAACAAAGCTCATAACATCACACCATACATAAAGGGAGAGAACAGAGCTCATAACACCACACCATACCTAAAGGGAGAGAACAAAGCTCATAACACCACACCATACCTAAAGGGAGAGAACAAAGCTCGTAAGACCACACCATACCTAAAGGGAGAGAACAAAGCTCATAACACCATACCTAAAGGGAGAGAACAAAGCTCATAACACCACACCATACCTAAAGGGAGAGAACAAAGCTCATAACACCATACCTAAAGGTTGAGAACAAAGCTCATAACACCACACCATACCTAAAGGGAGAGAACAAAGCTCATAACACCATACCTAAAGGGAGAGAACAAAGCTCATAACACCACACCATACCTAAAGGGAGAGAACAAAGCTCATAACACCACACCATACCTAAAGGGAGAGAACAAAGCTCATAACACCACACCATACCTAAAGGGAGAGAACAAAGCTCATAACACCACACCATACCTAAAGGGAGAGAACAAAGCTCATAACACCACACCATACCTAAAGGGAGAGAACAAAGCTCATAACACCACACCATACCTAAAGGGAGAGAACAAAGCTCATAACACCACACCATACCTAAAGGGAGAGAACAAAGCTCATAACACCACACCATACCTAAAGGGAGAGAACAAAGCTCATAACACCATACCTAAAGGGAGAGAACAAAGCTCATAACACCATACCTAAAGGGAGAGAACAAAGCTCATAAGACCACACCATACCTAAAGGGAGAGAACAAAGCTCATAAGACCACACCATACTTAAAGGGAGAGAACAAAGCTCATAACATCACACCATACCTAAAGGGAGAGAACAGAGCTCATAACACCACACCATACCTAAAGGGAGAGAACAGAGCTCATAACACCACACCATACCTAAAGGGAGAGAACAAAGCTCATAACATCACACCATACCTAAAGGGAGAGAACAAAGCTCATAACACCATACCTAAAGGGAGAGAATAAAGCTCATAACACCATAACTAAAGGGAGAGAACAAAGCTCATAACACCATACCTAAAGGGAGAGAACAAAGCTCATAACACCACACCATACCTAAAGGAAGAGAACAAAGCTCATAAGACCACACCATACCTAAAGGGAGAGAACAAAGCTCATAAGACCACACCATACCTAAAGGGAGAGAACAAAGCTCATAACATCACACCATA